TGTGTTTTATTTACCACGACATCATCCTAGTACAATACAGTGGGTGAGTGCTCACTAAATATTTGTTGGATAAGTTAAAATAATTTCACACCTCATAAGAAGTAATGTAACAAGATAGCAAGAGTATACATGATTGAAACATGTAAGCAATAAGTGAAAGAATTTAAGAACACCTTGAATAATTTACTTTTCTCAATATGAAATAGACAAAACATAACTGTATCATGTATTCTAGTATGGTATAAAGCTTGCTACCTAATACATGTTCAATAAGTATTTATTCAGTAAATAAATACATCATGTAATAAGGGCACAGAACATCAGCATGAGCCCTCTAGGACTCTATCATAATACTATCTAGATGTGATTTTTAAGGCAAGGAGCGATGACGAATTGCTAAAATAAAATGGATTACAATTTAAGAAACAAAACATTAAGGCTTTTTTGTGAAATTTTTTTCTATTGGATTTACAAATATTTGAGAATGCCTTGATTGGTGTTTGTATATGTTGAAATGTGTGAATATAAAAAGGTTTCTCCTGCATTTATACAAATAATTAAAATGGAATTTATATTTCTTTCTACATGTAAGAAAGTTCACATTTACAAAGGTAGTCTAAGCACCAAATATAACCAAAAGGGGCTTATCAGAAGGAGGAACAATTTTTACTGGAAATATAATGAATTCAGTTTTGAAGTCTGTTCAGGTTGAGTCCCTGTGGAAATTTCTAGCTGCAGTTGAGACTTAGGGCAAGCTATGTAATTTCTTTTTACTCTATTTCTTTAGTATACATTGGAGACAATGATAATATTGGTTGCATTTTATTTTTGTGTTATAAGCATTAATAAATATAAAGTGTTTAAAGTACTGGCTGGCATCTAAAAGATTTTCAATAACTATTATTCATTATTAGTAATATTAATGATATTAACAGTAAGTTACTTAACAGTTGAATAGACAGGTCTGGAACTGAGGAAAGTGATCAGGGGTGTGCACACAAATTTATGAAAACCCAGCGTAGAGATGATAATGGAATCCATAGGAAAATATAGTTTTCCTATAAGATAGAGAATACAATTGGAAAAGAGCTAGAACAAAAAATATCTCCCAGGAATATCTATGTTTACATTATAGGTAGCGAGAGTTGTTTCAGTGAGGGCAGCTAAAAAGAAATTGAAACAATACAGTCATTTTGAAAGGAAGCCATTAGAAAGATTACAAACAAAATTAATTTCCATTTAATTAGACCATATTTTCCAGAAATCTGGCCATAAAATATAACTTTTAAAAAAGCAACGCTACGTAAAAAATTTGCTATAAAAAATTACTGTGAAGGGGATAATTTACATTTAGTTTCACCTTATTTGCTGAGGAATTTTACTCCAGCCCCAAACTCAGCAAAGAAAAAACCCTGCGGTTAACATGATACACTCTAAGTGGCAGGTTAGCGGTTCTCCGTTATTACTGAAGCACATTTATCAGAGACCTCACTCTAGCCTAAATGACATTAGAGCAGTCTTCCAACTATATCTACTACTATCCCATGGGGACTTCATTAAATACCCTTTTCTCCACTTCATCATGTATTAGGTGATGTTTTCCAGTGATGTATGTAGACATTTATGCCCTGGGCACCTGTCTACCGTTTGGTGTGTCAACACTTTTTATATTTAGAACATATTTTTATCAGATAACATTATGTTGGGACCTATCTCTTTTCATGTGAAGCTTACAAGTGCCAACTCTGTTACCATCACGCCCAGGTACAAAACTTTGTTCTTCGTTTAACTAGCTATGTGACTTTGAGCAAATTATCTAACCTCTCTGTGCCTTTGTGCCTCCGATTCCATATTTGCAAAATGACGATTATAACAATAGCATGTTCTTCATAACGTGATGCCTGACATAATATGTGCTTTGTAATTATATGTTATTATTATCATTCCCAAAACATGTCAGGTACTCGGAGACAAATAAGAAATATTTATTCTCTGCTTCAGGAAGCTTGCACTATAATAAAGGGATTTGATGTTTAAGCAAACCACTAGAGTACAGCATCATTGCTACTTTAGAGAGTTTTCTACCAGGTACATCATTTGAATGACCAAAAAATATTTAATCAGCTTTGCTTAGGGCAGAGTGGGTGTGGGATACACAGGTAAGGTGTCACAAGAAAAGAAAACATGAACATGCTGCTTGACAGCTTACTAGGCTTTTGTTTCATTATATACGGGAAAGATTTTTATAAGATTTAACAATAAGGAAGAGGAAATTAAAAGATCAAACAACCACTGTCATGTCAATGCCTGTAAGTGAAAGCTGGCCAGATGGATAAGACGAAGTTATAGGAAAATAACTGTGAAACAGAGGAAGTAAAATATGGTAAATGTGTGCATGTTTTTCTAACATAAAATAAGTTTCATGCCTGTGAACATATTTTCTGGTGTTGCCATTGTTATTGGGAAAGAAAATATCACAATAGGAATAATGTTGGGATGTGTGAATAATGACTAAAACCCTAGAATGAAACATGAAAGTGCTTTGAAATTTACATATAGCTGTATGATAATATTAAAGTTCTATGTAAACTATAAACCCAGATTTACCATTTTATAATCAAATAGAACTAAAAATCACTATCTTTATAAACATCTGAAAAGATAAACCATGAAAATGCATATTTGCCATTGCATACTTTATGATTTTAACTAATTCATATTTTTATTTGCAAAATGTTTTCACATTTTCTAGAAGGAAATTAATATATAATAGTGACGATTTACATTTGTCTTATAATCTCACCTTTTTACAAAAAGGTTTTAGAACAACTGTTAAGCAAAAATGGACAGGTATCTTTCTGTACTAATCATTAACTGAGCAATTAATTATGTTCTCATCATAAACATTTAGGATATTAATAAAAATAAGTACCATTACTTACAAAAAAATAGTAATAATATTTAAAATTGTCATGATGTTTCTCCAGTCTTTTCTATGATACTATATCCTACTCAGAGTAAGAAAAGTTTCTGGATACAAATTGAATTGCAAGAATGTATCCTAATTCAAAAGGTAAGACATCAATTATGGGTGAAAAAAAAAAAAAACCCATGTTCCTCTGAATAGAGCATTTCTACTATCCTCACATATAGCTGTTCATATGAAAACAGAGATTTTATCTGATGAAGGGAAAAAATATGATTTTCTAATAGAAAATCATACCTGAGTTACAATTCTGTTTTGTCGTTTGCTAGCTATGTTCTATTGGCCAATGGCTTAGTCCCTCCAAGCCTCAGGAAGTATCTCATCAGGGAAATTGCTGTCCGGAAGAGGATCATGACACTTTGAATATTATATTGATAACTTACTAACCTTTGATTTTAGAAAATGTATTTAAATATGAGATGCATATACTTTCTATTGATTCCCAGAAAACCATTTCTGAAATCGAAGTGTAATTTTATTACCCACAAGTTGTTGTTTTTCTGATGAAATACATGCAAAAGATGAGACACAATGTAATCATGGTTCCCAAAGCCTTTCCCATGTGGAAATGATTTGAGAGCTAATTATGAATTACAAAAATCTTGGAAATTTAATTTTCGTGAAGCAAGCCCTTTAAAACGAATTTCACAAAAAAATAGCCAGGCATAATTTGGGGCTCAAGATTTACTTTGACTCTTATATGTCCAACCTAGGTGGCTGATTAATTTCTTCTGAAAATCCTTTAAAGAATCCATAAATAATTTATTCCAATTTATATAGTGTTTTTTTGCACTTGAAAACTCAGAAGTTATCTTAACAATTTATAAATAATTATCAGAGTAAATGCTACAGAGTATGTGGATTTTTTAATACACACATGAACATACACACACATAGAAACACAAACAACATTAAATAAAAATGAACAAAGATGTGTTTATCTCTTTAACACAAATAGCTGACAAGATAACGTACATAAAACAGGCTTGAAAGCCTTTCAAGATACATGTTAAATATGATTATAAATCTGGGAATGCATTTTAATTTAAAAAGAACCCCGAATAGGCATGACAGCTGCACACTGATCATCCACATTATCCCTCACTATGAACTAAGGCACATATTTGCAAGAAGGATGTGTAAAGTTTGATAGGTTGTCTATGATCTAGGAATCATGTAAAATTAACTGTTACACGTGATTGCAACCCACAACGTAGGCTTCAGTAAAACTGTTCTCTACTGGATAACCAGTCAAATGGGTTTAATTTTTAGAAGTGGGTGGGGGTAAGTAGAAGACATAGGCAAAGTAAGAATACATAGTTCATAATACTACATATTTCCATTTTCTACATAATGGTTTCAAGAAACTCTCAAATCTTTTCGTGAGGCTATTTCCTTTAAAATCTGTAAGTATTCACACAAAAGTGCCTTTAGATATGAGTCAGCTATAATCAATAGCTTAAATCATAAAATTCCAGTCAGCATACATTTCTCGTATCACAAAATTCTTGATCATAAGATGCTGGGGGAAAATGTGATTTATATATATAAAACCTCTAAATTGCATATAAATAGTAAAATAAAAATAAAATACACATCTATTAATTTATAACTGGTTTGATTCTGATACTTATCAAATAAATTTTCTTTCCTATTAATATTGGCAATATAATGAGTGATAGTAATTAAAATATGATGGCTATAACATATATGTTCCTAAGCACAAAATATGTTGTATTCATTTTTTAATAAAATTTAATAGAAGTGTAAATTTTTCCTAAGGCTATCCCATCTGAAATAAACTACCTTCATTGAATTTAGGTGTGATTTAGTGTAAATATTTAAATAAAAATCAAATGAACATTACAAATAGTGATATTAATTTTAAACATTTTCTGGAATAAGTTATCAGTTGGCAGGCTCTTGGTTAAAAAATCACCAGCTTGTTTCAAATAAATACATATATTTACTTAAGATACATATATGTATATTTATAAGGATATATATATATATGTTATTTAATTGCTGTTTTCATTTGCATATAAGATGCTGTTTAGCTGCTAAGCAAAAATATTTGAATGTTTTTTGAATTAACACACACACAAAAAAATACATACTAGATATAGATATGTAAGCTATACATGAAGCAGAAATTTAGGATAACCAAACTCTGATATCTGTTAATGGATTTAATTAGACTGTTTGAGAATAGAGATAAAAATATTGAATGAATGGCAAATAAATTTATAGGTATACAATTTACACAATCTAAGATTTGTATAAGAAAAAAATATGAGTCAATTTTTAAGATTGTTGATGAATGCTATCAAATATGTGTTCTAAATGAAATTTTGAACATTGTCAGTTAAAAATCATTGGACAGAAAATACAAAATTCTTAACTGTCACAGAGTAATTCAAGTAATCATAATATTATTTCTACATGAATGGAATCAAAGACCTACATCCTTTAATGAATATATAACACTTAATCCTCAGAATAGAGGCTTCAAATTTAGCCCTTACCTTGGTAAATATTTATACAAGAAGAAAGCCAATAAATATTATCAGGTGGAGTTAATCAATTAATTAAGTAATGAATGTTACAAGACAGAACTGTTTTACTAATGCTTTGAGACGATGAACAAATGGGGATCTGGATGCCAAAAACATTTTCTGTACCAAGTGGCAATCCAATCATGAACCCATTTTCTTCAAATCATTATTTTTAAAAGATACAATGTAGCATTCTATGTTTAATAATCATATCAAATTCCCTTTCTTCGTTCCAGCTAGACAGTCCTAGTGTCCAAACACTCCAGTTGAGGAGACAAAGAGAAGCGTAAGAAAAAGGGAAGATAAAACTAGAATCCTGCTTTTGACTACCACTGAAGAGTTAATCCGCTCCCCCACATTCCAATTTACAGTAAAATGAAATTGGCACATTAACCTGAAAGGAAAAAAAAAAAAAAGAAAGAAAGATGACCAAATTCATTCAGTGAATTCAGGCATATCCAATGAAGTAATAGTGAGTTTATGCACATCGAAAAAGCAATTTGGCTCTGAAATAGCAAAATTTACTTATACCTAGTGGGAAAAGAGGCAATTAAGGAATAATCTGGAAGTGCTTGAAAGTGAAATAAATAGAGAATTGGCTTGTGCTGAGTGTCAAGCAGCTTTAAAAGGGAATTCTGATGATCAAACACTCAAATAGAGTTCTCATTCCTCCTTCCCTCGTTTCTACAGAAACTCTATAAATTGTGAAACTCTTTAAGAACCAGGAGGAATATAACAAATTTGCAATTATGGAATGAGAATATGTGGGAAATACTGAAATAGAGCTTAACAAGAAATTTTTATTTCAAGAGAGAAATACTTAGTCATTTATTATAGTTATAAGTAGACTCTGAAACTGTCAGTCATGTCTTTGACAAAATGAACTGCATTCCAAGTGCCCACAAAGCAAAATCTGTTTCAATAGACAAGATAGAAATGGATGAAATAACATTAAAAAAGCAAAAAGAATGAAACTAAAAAATGAGATACCATTGAAAGTATAGTAGGCATAAAAATGGCAGTAGTATTTAAGGGCAAGAAGAGAACATAAAATGGTAAAGCAAGAAGGAAATAAATAGAGACAGGATATAAAACACATTCACACATTCTTATGAAATAGATTTACTCTAGGCACTTTTCTATATTTACTGGATCTTAGAGCTTTTGTTTCAGTCTCCCTGTTTAAATATCATCATGCTCACCTAAATACGTTTGAACCTTTATGTACTTGGAGTGCCATATGCTGTCTATGATTTTTAAAACACAGAAATAGAGAAAGTATAATTTCCTGATTGGAATCTAATAGAATTTCTGTTGTCATGGTCTGAGCAAAACGACATATTAAGACAATGAATCCCCTCCTGCTTAAAATGTGATACGACTTTTACAAATATTTCCATGCATTTACAAAGTTTCATATCATGATGATTCATTTATACTTACCCATCTTTCATGTTGGTGATTAAAAATAAATCATTTTAAATATGAGAACTCTTTGCACAAAATTTGCTCTACTTTTAAACAGATATTTGTATTATTCTGATATTTCCTTTAATAAGCTTGTTGAGAGTACATATAAAATTTGTGAAATATAACCAATATACTCTCTGAAGCTCATAGAATATTATTAATAATCATACATTATCAATTAAGATTGATAATATAGACAACTTATGTGGCTAAGTTAATCTAACCACTTACTTCAAAAAGAAATATATAATCAATTTTATCCAGCAGAAAAAACGTAAATAACCAGTAATACATTCTCACCTAGGAGTGATACTTGACTTATTTGTTTAAACTTACTAGACCGGCACCTCTAGGAAATGGTGAGATTGGGAGTAAAAGAAAGAGGAGAAATCACATTGTGTCATATTCTAATAATTTCAGCAAGTGTTTTTAAAATGATATTGTTAAGATGTTGGATTGGAAATCATCCTGTAGCGTTCTTATATTGTTAATGCTTCCCTTCATTTTTCCTATTTGCTATCATGGCCACCGAAATATTTAAAGTATCCGCAGATTTGAAAGTTAAGATCTCTAGCTGTTTCCTTAAGCAGATACATTGATATATTTATGCATGAAACATTAAACCTATTAAAATCCATAAAATTAAAATATATTAATGTGTAATTTTGAAAAACTAAACTGTCTTAATAATTTTAGAATATTTGTGAATGGAATTACCTAAAAATGATAACTTTGTAAAAAAAAATACGGCAAGAGTTTTAGCTTCTTATTAACAGTCTCAGTACAATACTGAAAGAACACCTTTTTGTAAACATATTTTGGAATTTTTAAAGTAAGTCACCTTTCTGCTCTTTAATATGACTATCACAGCAGACGAACTGAAAACATACAGTGGGATGGTTGGTGATAGGATTGCATGATATTTTAGCAGCAAAGTATACCTATAATAAAATTAGTAATATAATTAATAGCCATATTCCTACATCTACCTGAAGCACTTAATGATGGTAGGTATGAATTGCCTGAACTGTTAATTATTTTAGCTTACAAAACAGTTATTTTTATTCTGTTACATTTCTACCTAGCTGATATATAAATTGAGCACAGATAAACAGTTGAGTTTGCTCGGGAATAAACTTAGATACACTTTTTGGTTTCTCACTGTTATTCATTTGAAGGACTGTTAAGTAAAAAAAATTAAGATCTTTGTCTTTTGTAAGAACACGTTTTATGTATGATTGAAGATTTTACAACACTCCAGAAAAGCCATCCGATGTTAGATTTAAAAATAAAATCGAAAGCATTTTCTGACATAGTACACATGAAAAATTGGAAATTCCAATATCTTCAATAGAAGTTATAGAAAGTGTATGTCTTCTTGGAGTTCGACACCCACTTAACACAGCAGAAAATAAGGTACTATACTGTAAACAAAAAAGTACAGTAAAGGACAATTGTAAATTTACATAAGAATATTTCATAAACATTTTGGTCTTTCCATAACAGTTTTTATATAAAATGAATAAAAAAACCTTTAGACAGCTGTCATCAGTCTTGTTTGACCACTTTTCACTTATATGCACACAAACATATTTATATAGCAATATATTGATGCACCGTTACATGGATATTAAACTATGATTACTGCTTGTAATTGAGATGTGCATTATTCAATCAACATTATCCATACTTGAAATACTCTTACATTACGTATTCTTGTCATGTTGTATCTATAAAAACATGAAAATATAACTTTACATTATTTCAATTATTTACATTAGTTCAAGCTTGACAGAGAAAAATTGATAAGCTACAATTTTTAGAAGAGTAGGCCCAGAGGTACAATAAATAGCATTAATTGTATATAGTCATTTCTTTTTCATTTTTAAAAACTCATTTTAAGTACAATATGGAAACAATTAGTCTGCAATTTGGTCATTCTAGCACTTATTATTAAAACTTAAAATGCACCTCCAGCATTCCTGATGAGGAGAGAAACACTAAAATTATATTGTATTACCTTGGAATCTGTGATTAGGGACAGCTAAATTTAGTGAAGAATATCATGATACCACATGCCTTCATGGCCAATGCAAGTGGTTGCTGTTTAACTCTACATTTTTCCTCCCTTCTATGAAATTCAGTAAGTAAGAATGTTTTAAAAGCACTTTGCAAAATACCAAGTGCTACACAAAGGCTTTCTTGACGAAATAACAAGAATACAAATACTAAAAATAAAAATTGGATGTCAGTAATTATTCAAAATCCTAAATTAATTAAGCTTGAGGGGCTTTAATGGAAATAAGAGGTATTTTTATGAAGGGAAAGACAGATCTCTTAAATTCATTAACTAGAGAAATATAGGTTCTTTAGTCAAAAGCTACAGAAATGTGACGTATTATCCACACTGCGCATATTCAAATAGCCATTCCACCTGAGGAATAAATACAAAAATAATATATTAGGGTTGTTTATAATTGATGTCAATGGAATGAAACTATATTGCAGGTGACTCAAACATATTTAAAATAGTCATAATACATAAGGTTTATGACAGTTCTGATAATTTTAAAGGTAAAATTATATTTAGTTTATGGTATTTAATCAATGGGCAACTATTTTAAGAATTACTTTCAAGGCATTTCTAATTTCATTTACAATGAATATTTCTCTTCTGTAAGCTCAAACACTTTAAAAATGGAACTTCACAGATTCTGATAATTGTTAATATTAGCTTTTAAAATCTATTAGCATTAATCTACATAGATTAAATGCTTTTGAGTTAACAAACATTTCTTTATATATATTTAGATGTGTCAAAAACAGATTCAGATATTACTCTGGGGCAGGACTATACCTCAAAAATCACCTGGCCTTTTAAAAGGGAGAAATTTTCTCTGGGCACCTAACAAGTTGGTAGTGTCTTTAAACTCACTTGATTTATGACCAAACTGTAGCTAAGCAAAATTAATTGGACCACTTGCAAATA